GACATGAATCCCTGGAAATTCCAGAGGTGGGATCAGGTACCTAGGAGAAGTAAGAATCCCCTGTCAACCGGTCACCTAGCAGCGAGTCCTATGCATTGATTAGGTAGATGAAATACTGAGTCAAATTTGGTGGAAAAGTCGTAGAATTTTCCAAAAGCTGACTTAAATTGAAGTTATTGAAACCCTTGTAGCATCATCTTATCTTTTCGATAGCTTCCTCGGTATAAAAATTGATTTTATTTAGAGCATACTCTTGCGCATCGAATCAGTTGGGAGACATAAACTCAATATACATGTGAAGTTTGAATATAGCAACATAAATAAGGGAGACGATGAAAGGCTGTAGTCATTGTTTTGTTATTATTTGCCATTATCGTTTAGTCAGTTAAACATTTAAATATGGAACAGTCCTGGCAGACTCTGTAGTGACTTTTATTTCGAATTCACTCGAATATCTGGAGTCAATGTTTGAATGAATGTAACTATTGTAAATTGATAAAACGTCGTCAATATATCTTATTGTTGAAGGCCACAGCAAGACTGTTCTTTTCATTAAGACGTTTTTGAATAAATTCTGTTTCATATGATCATAAAAAAGATCAAGTAATGACAGATTGTTTGAAGACCTGGTATGAAAAGACTATATAAATATTGTCAATAAGGAACTCCAGCATCTTTTTAATACCATTTTCAAAGTACTTGTATGTAGAATGAGAATAATTTTTAACAAGTTAATTTTGTAGATGACAAATTACAAGATACATGTATAAATATATTTTTCTATTGAGGAAGCATTTGTCAATGATATCAAATCATGCTTTTAATGCAGGTACGTTAAGGCAGCATCCAAATCATTAAATGTCGAAATTCACCTTTTTTTGTAAAAAGACACGGATAGAACATTTACTATTATTAGCCATTGTATAGACGTCCATGAGTCTTAGGCTAAAAGAAGCCCCCCACTAGGACGTCATAATGTGACGTCTATAATTAGAATAATATGTCTTAATGAAAAGTGAAAAGTTCAATTCTACTTCAAGGATAATTCTTTGCTGCTAATTTTACATCTCTGGACTTTGAAAAGTGGTGCTATAATCCTACTCTCCAGTTATAGAAATAATTATTTCACTTTTTTGCATGAAATCTGTCCATAATTTTTAGATTTTGTACGCACGATTGAAAAATTCTCATCAATTCATGTTATCCACACGAGTCTAGCAGCACTTTCCACGTACTATAGAATCAAGCTCTCGATATCACCTAAAATAATGTTTCAAAGCATGCAGCGTAGTGTTGAACTTTTGCATTTTTTGTTAACAACGTTAAAAAATGGTTGATCGGGTTTTCAAAACATTGCCTGTCTTCATAAGAAAAATGATAAAAAATCAGCATACCTGATTCTTAAAATTTAAGTCCTTATGAACCAAAGGTGATGTTCAAAGTAAATGCTTCTTAACTCAAATTTCATACATTTGTTAACATAAATTCTTGTTCTGATTCATTTTCACTCCAAAAACTTTTGATCAACAGTTATGACGACATGGGTTAGGTATTTAACCCTAGTGACAAATACTTCCTTTTTTATACCATCCGAAAATGACAGGATGCAGTTTATATTATGTTTTGTATGTTTCTAGGAATTGAAATAAATGTTTAAATATAATTATTAAGAAATCATTATCTCTAAAGTCCACGTCATTTAGCTTACTATGACATCATATTGTATAGACAAGTTAAATATCTGGATGAAAATGGGTTGAATGAAGCAAAGAAACTTTACTTATTCCTACATGACACATGATCCAACCTCATATTTCTACGGGTCCGTGATTGCTTTCTGCTTTTAGTTTTGTATTGTTTGATTAGACTTTTGGGCATGATATTTTTCGTTTGATTACATACTTAGTGATAAATACAGGTTTTTTTTTTTTTTTTTTTTTTTTTTTTTTTTTTTGCTTATGCGATATGCCTGACGTCACAATACTGCAGATTCCTTATTTTATTCGAGTGCTTAATATCGCGAAATGCACTCGATAGTTAATTCCTCGCTTATATTTAGGAACGTAAAATAACCGTATCAGCTTCCAGGGCTGATACGGATCCTGCAGGGCTTATATGGATCAATGTGGTCAATTGTCCCCACGTTGCAGTTCGGTAATTGAACGAGGATACGAAGATAAAGTATTCACGCCATATATCTTATTGATCATGAAGAAGAATACAGATTTTCCACTTCATATATATAATTGTCTTATCTGCATATAAAGTGTTAAAACTCCATTATACACATAATTTTAGTTGTATCTAGTTGTTTGAACATAATTTAAGGCACCTTCTTTCATTTTTGATTGATTTTTGGCTATAAATTATATCCACAAAAATATTGATGTGAAAATATTGATCAAAGCAAGAGATTTAATCAAATCCATAAAGTAAAGTCGATATGTAACAATAAATATCAAGTTATATCGAGATAAATATATTAAAATTGTTGTGGGAAAATATTGCTCTTGAATTAAAAAATAGAAGATAATGGAGAATATGCTTGTACCGGTAGTTGGATTCTCAAATCCTTTTTTTTTACTTTTTGATTGTCAAATATGGATGTGTTACTCATTTGACACCATCTCCCCCTTTTTTTTAACTTTGCGACTAAGCTCATACAGATTGTCCGCAATGAAGCAAAATGATATTACATCATAGTAATAAGAAGTTAGACCTGATAACTAATATTCATATTCTATCTGATATTCTGTCATGATTCACTGTTTAATTTTTTTTAGGGTGGGGGTTGCTGTCAGGAGTGTGGGGGTTCATTTCCATGTGGCAGAACTATGTTAACCACATGGTGACAAAATACCAAACATATACAGAATTTACATAGCCAATGTCACTTGTAGAATAGTGTTACTTTCGACGCATCCACGAATAGATCTAGTAATGCGTGTATATATGAAAAGAACACTGAAACCATTTAGGATGGGATGAGGCACCTATCGTTAATTATTTTACTCGTCACAGTATTATATATATATTTTGCAAGCATATAATTTTTATTTTAAAAAGAGATTTTTACTAATAAATGAAATTATTAATTTTTACTAGCCATGAATATCTTCGATTTCTTATTAATTAGGATGATGTTTATTGATATTCGTTTTATCTTTGACAATCTTATTGCTCATGTCTCCCCAAACCCTTCAAAACCTTTTCAAGTCTTTCTATAATCATATAGCAAATTAAATATTTGACACTTTACTCAAGGTACAATGGACATATGATGTTACTAAATCCCTAGTGAAATGACGTTCATGAGATTTCCCACGCACACGAAGTTAGTGCGAGAACAATATTTTCACACTCTCCCCTGAAAATAGTAGCATATTTATTTGATATAACTGCATTGCATATATTCTATTTTTGTATGTGGAGATTACTATATATTTCATGCTTAGGTCAATATTTTCAAATCAATAGTTTTTTACGTCGATATATTTATAGCAATAAAATCAAATGAAAAAAGGTGCTTTTAATTATGTAAAAACACCTAAATACAATGCAATACGAGTATAAGCATATAAATAACAAATTACATGTATAACACTTAATATATTAAAAAGACGTCTACAAACAAGACAGTTTATTTTATAACACTGTTAATACTGTATACAGGGTTATTTTCGCCCCGTGTTATTTTCGCCTTTTCATACCTGTAAACAATTTTGCCCCGTTTTAAATTCGCCCAGTCACAATTCTGTTTAACAAATTATCCTGTGATTTTTGAATTCGCCCCGTTTTAAATTCGCCCACTTGTGTGTAGGGCGAAAGGGGCGAAAATAAAACGGGGGCGAAAATTTCCCTGTATACAGTAAGTGTAGAGACCTACACGCTTCTGTATATTTTCCGATAATTATTTTCACAGTCTATTCTAACATTGTGAAAATAATTCCTTTAACTTTCAAATTCGGCAGGTAAAATCATGATATTGTGTTAAATGGATAAATTACAATGAGTGTTTTTCACTATTGAAAATGAACATATATTGGTTGACATTTTTATACTAAACCTTTCAACGTCTTTTTCTGATTGTTTAAACTCATTACATGTTCATGTTGAGTTGAAAGAACATTAATTTTATCTTTATTTAAAATCATACTGATAGACATTAGCACGAATCAGTATTCTACAAAAAGAAACATAACAAAGACCCGCGCGGCAACTTGCTAATTATGTAAGCATTTTGAAAAATAAGATCGAAATTAACACGCACTGATAAGTATAGCTATCTATCAATCATCAGTCGCTAATAAATTTAATGTCTCGAGGCTTAGACATATTTTTGTATAGTTCAGTGGATTTTATTGTTGTTAAAGCTATATATGGCGTATCTGAGCTAAAAGAAAAAATAAAAATACGAGATTAAATGTAGATGAACATGATATTTATTATTTACGTTCAAATTAAAATTTTCACCGATTTTGAACTTGAATAACCCACGTTTCTATTGTTAAATTGACTAAAAACTGTATCTGATATTTAAATGCGGAGTCGGTAAATAAATCGGTATTTGTTTTATGTTTCTAATGTCTATGAAACGCGATTGGTTTTAAAAAAAAAAGTAAATAACAGGAAATTCCTATCTTTATATAAAGAAATAAAATAAATAGGAAGATCATTTTAATTTTAGTTCGTCAAAACTTCTCAAAAATACGCCATATATGACTTTAAAGTATTAAAAAACGATTTTCCAATTACAGTGTTTCAGTCTCATCATGCACCTACTTTTAACCACGAAATGAGTAATTTTTATATATTGTTTGGTGCAATGATAGAAAATATTTTATTTTTTCAACAATGTTATAATTATTAAAAAATGAATAATAGATGACATCTTATTTATCCATGGTCCTGTAACACAATGAGATCATAAATTTAGTTTTTAAATTTATAAATTATTGTTATGAAATAATATACAGCATATAATCTGATTCTTTTTATAGATGATACCTGTCCCGGACCGTCCAGTATAAAACCTGGTGCGCACTTGGTATTAGCTGCCTTTTCACAATTCTGGCTCCGAGATCTTTGATAAAATGTTTGTTGCTATATCGAAAAACTTAAAGTACCTTACCGTCTTTGTGGTGGAACTGAACCTTTGTTTGTTTACTTCCCATTTTGAATTTTTACAATAAAACAGTTACAAAAAACTTTTTCAGTCTTGTTTAATCAAGTGTAGTTGCACAGTCTCACGTAAAAATTTGATGGCATACTGTAGCCACACCCTACCCCTGGGGATCATGATTTGAACAACGTAAATCAACACTGCCTGAGAATGCTTCCGCATAAATATGACCATTCATGGCTTTTCTGTTCTTGAGAAAAAAATTTCCCTGTATATTCCTATGTAAAACTTTGATATCCCGTTGTGGACTCACCCAACCCAGGGGTCATGATTTACAGCGAAGGATTTTTTATTAGTCGCTTGCTTCGGGTATCATTATTTTTAGTCTTATATATGTTTCCCGCTTAAAGCATGGTATCCGATATTCTACCACGGTTATTGCAAAGGTCAAAGAGACGCCGCGGCCATTATTCTCCAATAAATCACAAACGTCATCAACAAATTATCAATAATTTTAAATCGATTTCCTCTTATTTTGACTGCTCTTACTAGGAAAAGAACTGAGGCCTCTTTTGATTGTGACGCAAATTAGTGGGAAAAAAGTTTACTTTGGATTCGGATTACCTCGTACTTTTTCTAATGCGTGAAGTGCAAATAAACGAGAAGTAGCATTCAATTATGGCGTAATAAGGCACTTATATTGACGTCGAAATCTACTTCTCCGTTTCTCTATATAGGAGTTCAAAAATTCGGCGTAGCAGAATAGAAATAATTCCCTTGTCTTCGAAATTGTTGGAGAATATACCCCTCAGTCTCGAGATTTTGTTGGCAAATAAAAACCGAGCCCTTCGGGCTTGGACAAGGGAATTATTTCGTAAATTAACCACATATTTTGCTCCTATTCCTAATACGCTATTTCCTTCCAGCGGTTCCAAAGCCTTTGGCGTTGGAACGTCAGTATTAAAAATCGTTTGGGGGGGGGGGTCAAATATCATACATTTCATATATAAAAGATCTGGAGAAAATATATATAGGGGATATAAAAAAGAATTTAAAAACAAAAACTTCGGGCGCGGTATTTAAACAAGATTCAACATGAACTTTAGAATGCAATTTTTTAAGAAAGACATTATAAGGCCATAATATAGGGAAATGGCCATTTTGGAAATGTTGAAAAGGAAATAAAAGGAATAGGAGTAAAATATATGGTAAATTAACGGATACCATGCTTTAAACGGTGAAGCGCATATTATACAGGAAATAATATCCAGAGCGAGCGACAAAAACAGCGGCGTAAATAGAAGGTTTTTACAATGCTTAGATCTTTAACTCTCTGGTTGTCTGTCCGAATTTTCTCAACCAGAAAGCTACAGTTTAATTTGGCAGCCAAACCGATATGTAAGAATAAAAGAACATATGTCTAACATTCGTTTCAATTCATTTTAACTGTAATATCAATATTCATAAGAATGAGCTAATTTGCATGAATTTGTTTTAAAGAAAAACGCGGAATCAAATTAATTTAATCTTTTTTTTTTTTTTTTGGGGGGGGGGGGTAGATAGAGTGGAATGACTGACATCTTGTAGAAAAGTATGATCTTTTATTGTGGAATTACATATCACCATGCATTAAAAAAGCTTTTCTTGTAGTCCTTTATTTCTCAATTTTTATGTTCTCTTTGATCGCCCAAATAACCATAAGAGGAAATATTAAAACCTGTGGACTTTTTCACAAAAAAGCTTACGTTCAGTTTTAATCTTAAGGGAAATAGTGAATTAATTTCTTTTTTTCACAAAAATGTTTAAGAGAATCATACATGCAAAAACCTTCTTAATTGTAATGAACTTCTTCACCAAGTCTTTGTGACTTACGATAATCTTAAGAAAGTTCCTACGATATGTCGGGAACAGGCCCTGTGCACCTAACGAACTTCAATTTAACATAATACAGGTCAATGCACGCACCTTTCTGAAACTTATGTAAGGTTATGAAAAATAAGGTCAAAACCATTTATACCAACTGATAATTTCGATAAATCATTAGTCTTCTTTTTCAAAAATTATTGTCCTAGACAGCTCTGCATATTTTTGTATAATAAAGAGGATTTAATTTAGTTCAAAATCGTCGCCCGCGTGGCTAGGTGGTTAGAGCGTTTGCTCTAGAGTCACGTATTGATCCTTTCGCCTCTGGTCAAATCCCAGTGCGGGACGTGGTGACCGGTCTTTCAAATGAGACAGTATAAACCAAGGTTCCGTGTTGCAGTAGGTGTTGGCACGAAAAAGATCCCATACTGATCAAGGGCCGTTAGTGCCGAGTACAGGTCTAAATTTGCAACTCTCCACCGAAGTAGTGGCGTCTCAATATGAGTGAAATTTTTTCGAAAGGACGTTAAACAATAACAAGAATAAACAATTCGCAATATTGTGCATTATCAAAAGATACTTTTCCAAGCACTTTATTTCCTTTATATATATTCCTTTATGAAGCAGTTTTCATGAACATTTATCAAAGAAGAAATCACCTTAAAATCAGGGATTGTCAAATGAATAATTATATTAAAACAGAATAATAAATACATGTAATTTATTTGGCCAAATGGACCACGGTCGCTGAAATGAGGGAGACGAGGCATCAATATACTGCCTTGTAATGGTATCCTTGAAGTGCAAATGAACCCTCGGAACAGAGAGCGCAAATAGCCTACATGTACTGGAAGCCCTATAGCCGCATGCCTGACATCAAGTGTTGGTAAGTAATTTAAGTATAAGAGTATATAGAGTATGGAGACTTATAAGGCAAGCCTCACCGTGTGTACCAGCCCTAAAAGGGATTCTATACATTAAAAGAACAGTCAGTTTCTATGTATTATTATTGTATTTTTGTTCACTAATACTTTTTTCATTTAAATGCATGAGCAAAAGTAAATACCGGAAGTATGGTCCATCATTTTGTATCTATGTCAACTGAAACAAATCTTTTGATTATATTGGAAATATCTTTTGTGTTTACAGATATATCATTGAATTTAGACATTGCTATATTGTTATTGACTAAGGCCAAGTGTTATACTGTTTCAATATGTAGAGTAAACAATAAATGATAAAGGGGTGGGGGCGTCAAATCTTAGCGCTATGCTAGGGTGTACAACATAAGGATGATGTAAAAATTGATGACGATTCTAATGTCGATTCCAATTATGTCAAATATGATGATGTTGATGAAGAAGATGTCGAAAAAGATGAAGTCGATGGATAGAATTGGATGCGCGAATAACTGGTTTTTCTTGTGTGTGTGTTAATTGACACTAATCTCCAACAACAATCTAGGATTACACTCCCGAAGGTTAAGTGAATAGTGTGGAACTGTAGAAAGATAACTCTCATATACAAATAGGTGGTTTTTTTTAATTGACAACCCTCTATTAATTTGAAAGAAAGTTTAAAGAACTATTTTGAACATTTTTCCCATTGTACAGTTGCTGCAACGTTATTGTTGAGCAACCAATCGTGCAGAGTTATTCATGTAACTAGCGTGATCGTTTGTGTAACGTGATATATCGTGCGTGAATCGGATTCAATCGCTTGGGTTTTAATCGTGCGGCAAGAATCGTGCAAATTTCGTTTTGTCAGTTTTTCTGACAATGTAAAATTGTAAAACAAATATTTTATTTGTCTTTCTTTACTTTCTTTCAATGAAATAGAAGAATTAAAAGTATGCTTTAAAATAAAGATAACTTATTTATGTATTACTTGATTAGTGTAATTATTTATTTATTCTTTCATTTTATATATTCATTTATATATTTATTTATATTGTTTAATTTCTAATTAAAAATTCTTTTTCTTTGAATCTTTGAAGACGAAATTATTAATTTCCTGTAAAACAAGTTTTGAAGAAATTTATAGAATTTTTTAAGAGTTAATTATGTTCACTGGTTTAGTATTTTTATTACAAATAGATCTTAAAGGTATCTTTACATAAATAAAAGAAAATTCCTCATTCTTTTATGTGAAATTAAGTCTGCGAATATTACATTACTGGATAGTCGGGATTACTGTTATCCTGGATATTTTGTTTTCAAAAGTTCTATGAATGTATTTATTTAATAGTTTAGAAATTAAAAATATACTTACGCAAAATCAGCATTGACCTACCAGTATCATTAATGAGTTAATTTTTAAGTTAAATTTAAATTACAGAGAGAGTAAACTGGTTTAGTAATTCAAAACACATGTATTTATATACGAGGTTTGTAAGAAAAGTTCGCGGATACACTGATTTACGGAAAATGTACCATGTACATTGAAGAATGACGTTTGTCTGATTAAATTCTTAATATCTTTTGTTTTTTAGTATGTAAAATATCCGGTTCATTTATTAAAATTTTGAAAATATGCCATGAATTTAACTGTGCAGTCATTGGATTCACGGAACAATCACTTGACATAGGGTAACGTGACAAGCTCATCCTATGCCTGTTAAGCTTTTTCACAGATCTCAGTATCTTTCATTTCTTTACACTTTTCATGTAATTTTACTAAGTTAAAATTGAATAACTTTATCAAGACATGTTACCTTTTTTCCCTAAAATTTATTGTGGCGTATCTGATAGTAAAATTAATGTCTTCGCAGTTAAGCGATCAGGTATGGAAACAATGCAAAATTCATAGGCGCGACGTCCATGCGATAAGCGGGGTATTGGAGTATCGCGGGATTTGATCATCAAAAATTCATTCCTTTCATTCTAACAAAGCTACTACCATTTGTACACTTTGGTTTCAGATACGTATAGGCAATTCCCAGCAGCATCTAAAAATATTTGAATATCTTTTGGGTATTTTCCTGTCTGCACTGTTACAACGCACTTTGAAAAATTACGCACTTTGAAAAATTTGGAAATTACGCACTTCGAGCATTTTTTTTTTCAAAATACGTTAAATTTGGGACCAAGTTAACACACGTTGAATCAAAAATATTTCTTTTCAAAGTGCATTAAGTATTAAGTACATGTATTATAAATAATTATCGAACCTGGTTGGATAACTTTTCGGTGATGACGTCACATCAGGATCTGAGAT